GCGACAGAATGCCCAGGAGCGACGGGAGGGCCCCATCCACGACCGGCTGTACGTTTCCGCTAGAGAGAAACAACTACTGGAAAAGAATAAAGAGCTAGAGGCGCGGCAGAAGGAGCTGGAGGAGGAGGAGCGACAGCAACAGAAACGTCTACGCCTGCTGGAGTGGATTGACAAGAAGCGTGCGGAGGCGAGGGAGCGAGAAGCGGCGGAAGAAGAAGAAGAGGGAACCGAACTAAAAGAGGTGAGCAGTGCATCCGCGGTGACGGAGGAAAAAGTGCAGGAGACGCCCTTCACGGCTAATCGCACCTTAGCGTTAGACTTGGAGAAGGCGAATAAGGAGAATAGTATAAAGTCGTCAGTGAAACGATCCACACCGGCCACCCCCGCCCACCTGACGCCAAAGTCCTCTTCGGTAAAAAAGAAGTCGACCCCCAGTCTGAAGGAACGATCGCCCTCTCTGTCCAAAGAGGCGCTGAGCAACCAAAAGCGCACCCCCTCGACCTCCTCCTGCACCCCAATGCAAGTGGTGGATCTCCTCACCGTCCCCCTCGCGGTCGATCTGGCCAAGGAAGAGGGCGCTAGCATCTCCCCACTGACTAGCGTGTCCCGTGGCTCCGATAGTGCGGCGCTCAACAAGGCGGCGGTGGTCCTCACCCATTCCGCCCAGAAGGAGGAGGGCGGTGCCTCCGGTGAAAGACGACCACTCTCCATTGATGGAGAGGGTAGCACAGAGAAGACGGACACCTCGGCCGGTGACTGCTTCTTCCAACCGGTGCGGTACTGTCGGACGACACTCCCGCGGAAGCCCTCCAAGGTACAAATGAGTCAGAAGGGCACCTATATGAAAGAAACACTGTTTCTAGAGAAAAAGTGTAAAAAAAGATTAGACCGTCTGGATAAGGACGTGTACAGTTTGTAATATACCATTGATGATTTTTTTGTTTATTAGATGCTACTTATTTCTAGACCCTTTATTAGACCACAAGAATGTATATCAATGCCAATGGATATATGGATCTTGCTGCTGATCGGTCTGTTATGACTTTGGCTTTTATTGGATATTCATGCTTCTCTCTTTTTTTGTTTTCAAAGTTAGAGTAATCGATTCCCACAGTTAGCCAGAAACCGTCGTCATGTCGGAGGAACCGACTGAAACCAACAACAATGCCGCAGAAGAGGAAGTACAAAAATTTTCCCTTTCAGAAAATGAAATGTGGAATCGCTTCTCCGAGTTTCAAAGTTACTGTGCTGAAAATGTCAAAAAAATAAATGCGTTGCAAAACGCCCTATCGGAAAAACAGTTTGGACATGAAAAAGAGTTTAGAGACTATCAGGCCACCGTCGGCGAGACGATGGCCACCCTGCACAAGACGACAGAGACGATGAAACGGGAGGTGGTGGATAAAACCACGGAGGTCAAGGTGCTGACGGACAAGGTGGCACGGCTGACCGATTATGTAGCGCAGCTGGAAAGTGAGAATAGTGTCATGGGCATGCGACTAAAAGAACAGCAACAGTCAAACCGGCACATTGAGGATCGCATGGCGGTATCGCAGAATCGGCAAAAAGTGGCGGAGCTGCGGCAGCACGAACTCGAGATGAGTGTGGAGTATGCCATGAACATTTCTAGAAAACTAAGAAAGTCACTGGATGAGGTGGATGTGACGAAACAACGGGCGCTGCAAGAACAGGCGACAGAATTCGAAAAGACACGCAAAGAGCTGATGCACTATTACGAGACGAGGGAGTCCAACTCTCGGCAGGAGTTTACCAATGCGGTAAAGGAGATCCAGGACAGCATGGCGCTCTTTCTAAAAGGGCGAGAGGCGCAGCTCGCAGAGGAGTTCAAGGCGAAGGTTCAGGAGATGCAAAAAGAACTCGTTGAGAAGGAGGCGGCGGTGGAGCGGCGGAAGAATTTTTTAGAAAACGAGTACCGCGGTATTGTCGACAACTTTGAGCGGGAGAAGGCACGATGGAAGCAGCAGCACCAGGGAGAGTACGACACCTACATGCAGCGCGCAAAGGAGAGGGAGGACTGGGCGATGGCCTCTGTTACCGCGCGAGAGAAGCGACTGACGGTACTGGAAGAACAGTACACTGCGGACAGAGGCAAGTGGGAGCGAGAGACCGAGGAGCGTGTACTGAAAAAAGAGGAGGCACTCCGGTCCCAGTATGAGACCACCATTGAAGAAATGCGCCGGTCGTTTGAGCAGGAGCGACAGAAACTGTCGGATACCTATTTGGACCAACTGCAACGCATCACCAACCTACACGCCCAAAATGAGCGAGAGTTGGAGCGGATGCACCGGGAGAAGGAGCGAGAGCTCGGACAGCCGTACAAGACTTCTTTCGTGCAGTCCAGCACGACCCCGACGGAGAAGGAGCGGGAACAGTCTTTTCTGCAGCAGTCCTCGTTGCTCTCCAAATTTGAGATGGTCGAGGCAAAACAAAACGAACGGGCGCAGAAACTGAAAATGGCGTTTGGGGAAAAGGATTCTGGCTCGCCATGACGGCCGATAGAAAAAAAAAAAAAATGATACATCTGCTGTATTGATCACAATAATTTCCTTTTCTGTTTTTGATTCTTCCATTTATCGTTTGGTGTTGCTACCTCTCCGTGGTCCTCCACTTTCTCAAATGTCTCTCCTAAATTTCTATTTTCTAGTACAAAACCAAACATCCTAGTTGCCAGTATGAGCTCCGCCTCCAGTGAGGAGGGATGTCCCTTCGTAGTGGATCTAAACCGTAAAAGAGCCATCTCCCTCAGCTCTGTAGACTCCGAACCCATTCCCCCGCGCCCTCGGTACGAGAACGGCTCTCGGTCACCCTCTGTCGGTAGTGCCACCTCCGACGCCGACCCCACGCTCAATAAGAAAAAGGGCAGTCTTTTGAGTTCGATTGATTATACACTCCCAGAAACGTTTGACACCGAACCGGTCGAGGTGGAAAAACTATCCGAGGCGACGGTGGCGACGGTCCTGTCGGTGGCCGACGCCTGTTGCGTCGCGGAGATGGCGGAACACTCCATCCCACTCGACGCCCAGACCTCCTTGTACACCAGTGACGGCCGTTACTTTGGGGCGATTGTGGCGCTCATAGGACCGGTGCAGGAGCCGTATTATGTCGTCTACACCAAGAAGACAGCAGACGGAAATGTAGAACAGGAAGATAAGGAAGAAAAAGACGAGGCGGTGGTGGGGACGGAGCTATACTACCGTGTCAGTTCGACCGTTAGCATCTTGTTTGCCCCGCAGGCGCTGTGCGAGGCAGGCGGAGGGACGGACGCCAGTTACATTAATGACGAGGAGCTACCGGAGCATGTCCGCCCCGACTTCTCCGACGATGAGAAGGAGAAGCAGTGGAAGCGGCGGAACAAGGCGGCGCGACCGGGAGGTGAGAGTGTTAGTTCGGAGGAGTCCTTGGAGGATATTGAGTGGTCTCACATCCGCCTAGAAGAGGAGGGGACGGCGGTCCCAGGGGTGGCGGTGCCGTCGTGGGTGGCAGACAGCAAGAAGTGAAGCCGCGTATTGATTCTCTCACAGTAACATAACATTAAATGTAAAAAAAAAAAAAAAATGTAAACTCCAATTAGAACGAAAGACATTGGGATGGGTGCTGTGCACTGGTCGCAGATCATCTAATTTCTCATTCTCTCCTATCCTTATTTTAATTTAAAAGTATTCAAGAACGTTGTTCTTCTCAACTGTTGAACCTCAAGTTGCACCGTTGCGAGATACCACCCATTAACTTATCGGCGGACTTGCTTGATGGAGATTTCATCACAATATTGTTTCTGTTGCGCCCAGCGAACTCCGTGGGTGAGGCCGCGGAAACTATATTTTTGCCGTCGAGTCTCAATCGGGTTAGCAAGAACACCATTACCCGTATTTATTATTCTACTACAGGATGTAAAAAATCGAGGCATTTGTATGAACCCGTTGAATATGAATTAGAACTCCGTGCACTTGCTACCTACTTACGCACGGGACTGACACTATAGTAATTCTCTGTCTATATCGTTTGTTGAACCTCAAGTTGCACCGTTGCGAGATACCACCCATTAACTTATCGGCGGACTTGCTTGATGGAGATTCAATTACAATGGGATAGTTGTTTTCCTCTCAAGAACAGCGAACTCCGTGGGTGAGGCCGCGGAAACTATATTCTTGCCGTCGAGTCTCAATCGGGTTAGCGAGAGTATTATGCGTTTTCAAACAGGTATTTGTTTTCTACTACAGGATGTAAAAAATCGAGGCATTTGTATGAACCCGTTGAATATGAATTAGAACTCCGTGCACTTGCTACCTACTTACGCACGGGACTGAAGAAAACAATTATCAATACCGTATCTGCTTTGTACTGTTTTATTTTGATTACTTCCCCCTACATGATGGTTTACTACAATTTAATTATACACCTGAACCGTAAGTTGACGATAACTCTTAGTCCTGACCCTCCACATCGTGTTGGAGTATTGTTCCAGCGTTTGTTGTTGTTTTTTATTATTTTTATCCGAACCTCAAGTTGCACCGTTGCGAGATATCACCCATTAACTTATCGGCGGACTTGCTTGATGGAGATTCCGTCACAATATTGTTTCTTTCCCGTTCAGCAAGCTCCGTGGGTGAGGCCGCGGAAACTATATTTTTGCCGTCGAGTCTCAATCGGGTTGGCGAGAGTACACAACGTCCAGCACACGGACAGTAAACTGTGTTCATGGACGAATGTGATATATGATGAATCAACTTTTTGCTTTTCCTTTTGTTTCAATCACCACCAGCGAACTCCGTGGGTGAGGCCGCGGAAACTATATTTTTGCCGTCGAGTCTCAATCGGGTTAGCGAGAACACCATTACCCTTTTATTATTATCGCTACAGGATGTAAAAAATCGAGGCATTTGTATGAACCCGTTGAATATGAATTAGAACTCCGTGCACTTGCTACCTACTTACGCACGGGACTGACACTATAGTAATTCTCTGTCGATATCGTTTGTTGAACCTCAAGTTGCACCGTTGCGAGATATCACCCATTAACTTATCGGCGGACTTGCTTGATGGAGATTCAATTACAATATTGTGACGGCTGCTGTGATAATTTCCCTTCTCACTCATCTTATCTGCAATTGGCTTAGTTCGTTTTATACGTTACTATTACGAGACGAACTTATTCTTTTGCAGTAGAAATATTCCATTACTAAAACAGTTCGTCGTGTGGAATTCGTATTGTTCTCTGGCTAAATGATTGTTATCATGAACTTGCAAAGGTGTACACACCCGTCACATCTCCTTCCCCTCTTAAAATCATTCTAACCAAAAAGAAATTCGTATAGATTTAACTAGTTTTATTTATTTATTCGTTTCCCCCATATAGAAATTTTTAACTTTCCATGGCCAAGAAAGCACAGAAGAAGAATCAGAAGAAGGTGAAGCGTGAGCCGGTGGAGCAGGAGGAGGTGGAAGAGGAGCCCACCGTGGTCAAGACGGAGGACACGCGACCATCACAGCCAGTAGAGGAGGAGCCCCAGCAGGAGCAATCCCCCAGTGAGGACGAGGAACGCGCCTCTTCACCCAAAGCGTCGAGTGAGAGTGACGCCGACTCCCCTGGCACCTTTGAGGAAAAAGAGTGGATCCCCTCGCAGGGTGCACAGGAGGCGGAGGAGAAGGCACAGCGGGCCGACCCCGACGAGGTGGTCACTCGTCTGGTCATTAAAGACATTGACGTGGAGAATTTTAAGTCGTACTATGGCCGCCACAAGATTGGGCCCTTCCACAAGACGTTTACCGCCGTAATCGGCCCGAATGGGTCTGGTAAGTCGAATGTCATTGACAGTATGCTATTTGTGTTCGGCCGAAACGCCAAGAAGATCCGCTTAGAGAAGTTGTCGGAGCTGATTCACAGTTCCGCCGCCCACCCAGACGTGTCCTACGCCTCTGTGACGGTGAACTTTGTGCGCGTCTTTGAAACACAACACGACGCCACGGACCCCATGTTCCGTAAGGAGGTACCCAACAGCGCCCTCTCCGTCAAGCGTGAGGTATTCCGCAGCGGTGTCTCCCAGTACAGCATCGACGGACAGCGCAGAACACAGAAAGAGGTGGTGGAACACCTCATCAAGGAGGGTATCGATCTAGAACACAATCGTTTCCTTATTCTTCAGGGGGAGGTGGAGCAGATTGCGCTCATGAAGCCCAAGGCGGAGAAGGAAGGGGAGGAGGGTCTGCTGGAGTACTTGGACGATCTGATCGGGACAAACGAGTATGTCGGCCGTGTCTCTGACCTCACCAGCGCGGCGGAGCAGGCCCAGACGGAACGATTGGAGTCCCTCGATAAAGAGAAGAAGTTGAGGGCTGAGCGCGATGCACTCGATGACGCCAAGAACTCTACCATCGCCTTCGTCACCAAGGATAACCAACTTCAGAAGACACTTATCGCCATGTGCCAGCTGCGCATGAGAGGGGATTGAAGAAAAACTAGAGGAACCCCGACGACTACTCAAGAAAATCGAAGATAACATCGTCGCCTACCAGGACGACGTGAATATTCGAAAAGACGCAAAGGCAAGGGCGGAGGAGGAGTCGGCCCGACTGAAGAAGGAGACCGCGGAGGTGACCAAGGAGAGGGACGGAATACGCCACAAGAAGCAGTCGGCGGAGGCAACGCTAGAGAAACTAAAATCCGGCGCAGATGAGTTTGAAAAGGCCCGCAAGAAGGTGCTGGATGCGTTGAAGAAGAGCAACGACGACAAGCAGAAGGCTTCCCTGCAGCAGCAAGATGCCGAGCGGGAGTCCGTCATCCACCAACAGAACCTCGACGAAGCCACCGCAAAGGTGGAGGAGTACCAGAAGGAGTACGAGAAGCTGTCGAACGAACTGCTCCCTAAGTTGCGGCCGCTCCGTCAAGAGTTGGAGGAAAAGAAGAAAAGTTTCGCCCCTTTTGAGTCTGCCGTGACGGAGGCGACAGAGCAACTCACCAACGTACGGAATCGCATGAAGATGCTGGAGGAGAATCGGCAAAAGAAGACGGAGCTGATCGAGAAACATAGCGAGCAGGTGGAGAAGTGCCAGGGCCGCATGAAGGAGATTGACAGCGTCTTGCAGAACGCAGAGAAGCAACACCACACGACAGGAGGAGATGTCGCGTCTGCAGGACAAGCTGGCGGAAACAAGTCGTCTGAAACATGGAATCGATAATACGATTCAGGATTTGAAACAATCCTACCGTGAGGGAGAGGCCGGCGACCGCACGATGGAGTTCCTTCTCTCGCAGAGGTCCCTCAAAGGGTATTACGGCACGCTGCGCCAGTTGGGCCGTATCGACGACAGCTACGACATTGCCGCTGGTGTAGCCAGTAACGCGTGGGGCTTCCACGTCGTGGAGGATCGTGCCACCGCCACAGCCGCGCTGCAACTACTGAAGGAGCACAACATTGGTCGCGCCACCATGATGGTGATCAGCGAGATTGAAAAAGAGATGGGCGCGAGGAGTAAGAATGCCTTTACCGCCCCTACCCCCAAGTGCAAGCGACTGTTCGACCTTATCCAGCCCACAAACGAAAAGTTCAAGAGCGTCTTTTATCAGGCGGTCCGCGATACACTGGTGGTGGACACCCTCGTCGCCGCCCGTGAGGTGGCGTTCGGCGGGGTGGACAAGAAGCGCTACCGTGTGGTTACGCTGAAGGGAGAGTTGGTGGAGCCCAGCGGTTCCATCACCGGTGGTGGTGCCACTCCCGAAAGGCGCCAAGCTCAAGGCGGCCCGCTCCCCGCAAGACAAGCAGGCCATCAAGGAGGAAATGCAGCGGCTGCAGGTGGAGCTGGTGCAGGCGGCCGAGGACGAGCGGGCACTGCAGCTGCGCCTACACCAAATGTCGGAGCAGGAGAATAAGCTGACCCCCGACCACGCCCGCAAGCTGCGTACCGAAAAGAGCAAACTACTAGTGGTCATGGAGTCCGAGACGGAACGCATCCACGCCCTCCGCGAACAGCTGGAAGGAGAGAACGAGACGGCCTATCAGAAGGAATGCAAGGCACTCGTGGAGGAGATCGGGGTGTGGGAGGACAACAAGGAAAAGGCAGAGAAGAACCGACTGGCGCACCACAAGGAGATTGAGGAGCTAGAGGCCAAGATTGAGAAGACGGGCGGTGCCACCTTCAAACAGGTATCCGATGCCCTCAAAGGGGAGCAGGAGCGAGTGGAAGCGGAGGAGTCCTCTCTGCGAACTTGCCGACGAAATATTCAAAAGCACCGTGCCGCACAGGAACGAAAGGAGGAAGATATCAAGGAGCATCAGAAGAAGCTGCAAAAAATAGAGGCCGAGGCGGAGGAAGGGGCGAAGGAACAAATCGCCGAGTGTGCTGCCCAACTAGAAGAGCTCGTTCGTCAGCTCATTGCCAGTGAGCAGAAGCTGGCGAAGGTGCAGGCGAGCGCAGACGAGGCGAAGGCGAACATCCCCATTGCGCACAGCTCCCTCGTGGCGGCCCAGAAGAAGCTGGATGACGAAACCAGATACGAGCAGACCGAAAAGGTGAAACTGGCAGACGCGATGCAACAAATAAATCAGTTTGAGGTCAAGATCAACGATTGTGAGGATAAGATTAGAAACAACGCCGAGTTGTATGGCGTGGAAACGCTGTTGATCGAGACGGCCGATGAGAAGGGCGAGGAAGAGGACGAGGAGGCGGAGGATAAGTCTGCCCGGGACAGTCTCTACGACGAGGAGGATGAGGAGGACGAGGAGGAGGAGCACAACAAGCAAAAAGGACGGAAGAGAGGACGCCGGAACAGCGGCGGCTCTAGTAGTCGCGGCAGCAAACGACAGCGGCTGGAGGAGAGTGAGGAGCGGCCGCCAAAGACCAATGTTAGCCAAATGACCTTCCGCCTCACCCCCGAGGAACTGGAGCGGTGCGACTACGACCGGTCCTACCACCTCGCCAAGGCGCTGACGGAGGAGACGAAACGGCTGCACGATGAGATTGATTTCCGTGCGGTCGCCCTCTGGCGGGAGAGAGACCTCGCCCACCGTCAGGCTCTCGCCGTGTACCAGGAGCGCAAGGAGGTCTCCGACAAGCTGGAGGAGGAACTGGCCGACCTCAAGGAGAGGCGCCGCTCCGCCTTCATGAGTGTCTTTGAGATTATCCGCAAGAAGCTGAAGGAGGTGTACCAACTCCTCACCCACGGCGGTGATGCCGATATGGAACTAGTGGACACCGGCGATCCGTTCGAGGGAATTCAGTTTGTCGTTCGACCGCCTAAAAAGTCGTGGAAGCAGATTTCCAACCTTTCCGGTGGAGAGAAGACGCTCTCCAGTTTAGCGCTCATCTTCGCCCTTCACCATGTGAAGCCGACCCCTATTTACGTCATGGATGAGATTGACGCCGCGCTCGACTTCCGTAATGTGTCCATTGTCGCCAACTACGTCCTACGTCAGGCGACTGGGGCGCAGTTCATTATTATTTCCCTCCGTAACAATATGTTCGAGGTGGCCCACCAACTGGTCGGTGTGTGCAAGGTGAACGATGTCACAAGCACCCTAGTTCTCATGCCCCGCGCCTTCCAGGAGCGAATGAACAATCTATTAGGCGTGCACAAGAAGGAGGCGGAGAAACGAGTCCGTGAGGTGGACGAGGCGGAGGAGTCGTCGCACCAGCAGGAGGGGGGAGGAATGAAGTCGTGCCTGCGAGGCTCCGTGGAGGACGGCAGACTGTCCAAGAAGAATGTTCGCTTCAGTACTTCCTCCCAAACCGGCAAGGATGGTATCCTAACGCAGTAGACAAACAGCTAACAGGCATGCCATAAAACGAAAATATCAGATCCGAAAAAAAAAAAAAAGTATGAGTTTCTATAGACATACTTGTGAAAGTGACATAGATTTTGACGATTATTTATTTTTTTTTTTAGAAAAAAAGAAGACATATTCTTGAAATATCCTCTATTTGTATAGAAACAAAACAAACAAAACAACAACAAAAAAATGCACGATAGTTGTGCATTGTTCAATACACCAAAAATCAATCTGTCGGCTTACCATTTCTCTTTCTCTCACTTTCTTGAAGTAAGAATGCGA